TGTGTGTGTGTGTGTGTGGACGTTTGTTGTGGTGGTTTGTAGTGGTGGTGGTGGTGTGGTGGTGGTTTGTTGTGGTGGTGGTGGTGGGTTGTGCTGCTGGTAGTGGTTGTGGTTGTGGTGGTGGTGTTGTGGTAGATTGTGGTTGTGATGGTCGTGGTGGTGTATTTTTGTGGTGGTGGTGGTGGTGGTGGTGAGTTGTGGTGGTGGTTGTGGTGGTTGTGGTGGTGGTGGTGGCTGTGGTGGTGGTGGTGGTGGTTGTGTGGTGCTGTTGGTGGTGGTGGTGGTTGGTTGAGGCGGTGGTGGTGGTGGTGGTGGTGGTAGTGGTGGTAAGTGTCGCTGCGTCCCCGCCGTCGCCGGCGCCAGCGCCGGCGCTGCTGGCCGCCGCCAGCGCAGGCGCTGGCGCGAGTGGGGGGGGGTTTGAACCCTCCCCCCCCCCCCTCCCCCTTGGGCTGACTCTGGTCATCGTCGCTGCGTCCCCGCCGTGGGGGCTGCTGGCGGCCGCCAGCGCCGGCGCTGGTGCCGAGGGCGGGGGGTGGGTTCAAAACCCCCCCCCTCCTTGGGAGGGGGGGGGGGTTTGGGAGGGGGGGCGGTTTGGGGGGGAGGGGAGTCCCCCTGGTTTTGATCGACGGCGCCGAGTGTTGGGGGGGGTGGCCCACCCCCCTTTTCGAAACGCGCCGCCGAATGTTCCCCAGGCAAGTGCCCGTGAAACGCGTTCTCTTGTATATATGTATGTATGTATGCATGCATGCATGCATGCATGTATGTATGTATGTATGTATGTATGTACGTATGTATGTATGTATGCATGCATGTATGTATGTATGTACGTACGCATGTATGTATGTATGTATGTATGTATGTATGTATGTATGCATGCATGCATGCATGCATGCATGCATGCATGTATGTATGTATGCATGTATAGGTATATGCATGTATGCATGCATGCCTGCCTGCCTGCATGCATGCATGCATGTGTGTATGTATGGATGGATGTATGTATGTATGTATGCATGTATGTATGTATGTATGTATGTATGTATGTTTGTTTGTTTGTTTGTTTGTTTGTTTGTTTGTTTGTATGTGTGTCCGTACGCACGTACGTACGTATGTATGTATGTATATATGTACGTACGTATGTATGTATGTATGTATGTATATATGTATATATATATATATAGATATATACACATGCATCGATCTGGAGCCCCAGGATGGACCGGTCCAGGGTTCGAGCAGGAGAGCGATTATGTAATTGATTTGCGGCTGGTTCGCCTCGTGTCGACTGGCCGCGACCCCGCCGCCGGCGTTCAATGTTGAACGCCGCCGGCGACCCAAAATCGGGCGATGTTGAACGATCTGACGTTTCGGAAACGGCCGTTCGTTCAAGGTTGGAAGATCCCTGCGGTGTCAGAAACCCAGGCCGAAGTCGGCACGACACGAACCTGCCGGACCCCCATTTTTCCCTCGAGCCTACAGCAAATATTGTAGAATGTTCGCAGATCTGTGCGACACTTCGACGTCTTTCCTTGCAGATTCGACGAACAACAGAATTTGGGCTACGTCAATTCTGTAGTCGATCTCCTGCTCGAAGGGTCGGCGCACATGCACGCCCCGGACAGACTCGCTGCTCGCGCTGTGACAGATTCGGGACAGGATCAGGAGGAAAAACACACACACAGACACAATTAATCCTCGATCCCCCAGAAAATATGGGAAAATATGGGAAGTGGGGGGGAAGACAGGAACCCAGAAAATATGGGAAAATATAGAGGATCTTTTTATTTGTGTGTATTTTTATTTGTGTGTTCTGGGGCCCCTTCACAGGAGGCTCTTGGCAGTTCTCGGGCTCTGGGGGCCCCCGCCCGGCCCCGGGGACCGTCAAGACACGGCTCGACCGCGCGCGCTAAGAAGAAATCAGGACATCGCATGTCTGGGCGCTTCTCTACTCTTCGCGCGGCCGCCCTCGTCTTCGCCCCCCCCCCCCTCTCTCTCTCTCTCTCTCTTGCACGCCGGACATCTTGCCCATCGGTTGCTCCGAGTGGCCCCGCGCTGGTGCGGACTGCCTCTGCCTCGCCGCCGGCGAACGTCAAGTCTGGGCGTTTCCCCCATTCTCTGCAGCGTGCGCGTAACATGAAGAGACCGGCCTGCCAGCAGGTGCCCCACGGAAGGCAGGGCTGGACCTAAACGGTGTTTTGACTTTCTCGTGTGCCGTTTTGCCTTTCGTTTTATGCTGCGTTCAAGTCGACGCGAAGGCAAAACGAGGCAGAACGACAAACAAAACGAAAACGAAAAACATCGTTTATTCAGGTTCAGCCCTGACAGAAGGCTCTTATCCCCCTGGCCCACATGAGCCGAGGGGCACCCGGGGCTCTCAAAAGCCCAGGCTTAAGTCGGGCCTGTCCCTCTACCGGGGGATATTCAACAATTGTCAGAAACTTTTTGTTCTTGTTTTTTGTTTTTTGGGTGTTTGTTGTTTTTGTTTTTTTCTCCATTTTGGGATTCTGTCGGAATGTTTATGACTATTTTCTATCTTCTCGTCCAAAATCCGCCTGTATAGGGCGACGAGATCTATGCATATCCACTGCTCCCGGCCAGGCCCATCCTGGGCCCAGGAGCGGTGTATACGCCCTCCTGGCTTGGCCAGGGAGGCACATACACCGCTCCTGGGCCCAGGATGGGCCTGGCCGGGAGCAGTGGATATGCATAGATCTCGTCGCCCTACTGCAGGGGGACACGCCCGACCTGCGTCCAGGCCGCCGGTGTGCTGTTTTTCTCCCGTGCGGGGCCCCAGGAGGTGCCGATCCCCACGGACGGCGTTCCTCCTCCCGGCGCGTGCTCTCGGGCGGCCTCGCGGGGTCCAGCGAGGGCCTCGCTCTCGAGGCCGAGAGCGACGAGAGGCAGTTGTGCTTTGTGATCGTTGTCTCTCATTCCTCGTGCTGCCGATCGGCTTCACTTGCGGGAGGTCCCCCGAGGCTCCCAGAGCCGCAGTCCTGGCGGCCTCTGGGGACCTCCCGCACACGAGCGTGGAATTGCGAGAGGTCCTCAAAGGCTGCTCGCAGCTCGTGCAAAACTGCCTCTGGGCACCTCCCTCAATCGGGTCAATTGCAGGAGGTGCTATCCGGCGGGATGACAGGCCCCCCCCCCCTGGACTGTCTTTGGCGCCCGTTTCGAGCAGGTGGAGTCCCCGGAGGACGCAGTTGCAAACAGTGGCGTTGAGCAGGGGTATGGAGCCAGCCCCCCCCCCCCTCCCCACCCCTCCCGCCCAGTGTCCAGGCGCCGAATAAGAAAACGCTCGCCTTGCTTTTGTTCAGACGTTGGATGTCTGGGGAGATCTACGTGGAAGGTTCTCCAAGACCTCTTGCAGCAAGACCTCTCATCGTGTAATTATGCCTGCTGTTTCGGAGGTGGCTTTCAGGCCATGGCGCTGGTCTCCTGCGGCCGCTCGGGGTGCTCTGGGGGCACCCTCGGGCGCTGCCTGGCGAGGCGCAGCTGCTGGAGGGCACATCCCGCTGCAGGGGAAACGCCGAGGACCGGCGAGAGCGCTGCTACACGAAGTGGAAGCGGGGCTTTCGACTACACGTGCCCAGACATGATCGCGTCGTAGAAAAGTCAGGACGAGAGGTTTTTGCTAGCTTTCGGCCTCCGGGATCCCTCGCCGGGCCTCGAGACTGTCAAAAAACGACTCAGGATGCAAAACCCGCCCCGGAGAAAGGGTCGGGACTTCCAGGGACCCCATATTGATAAAATCAGGACGTCGCATGTCTGGGTAAGAGTGACCCTTCGCCAGAGTGCCCTCTGGTGCCGGCCCATCGGGGTCTCCCGATCGCTGGACTCGATGCGATAGTAGCGTCTTGCGCGCGTGTGTTTGGTGCCCCCGCGGCCCCCCCAAAGCCGCGCACCAAAGGTCACTCTTACCCAGGGTCACTCTTGCGTGAAGCCGAGGCTCGCTGCAGGTGTGCAGGCGATCGTTTCCTTTATGGCCCCAGTCGGCGTAAGCAGCGCCAGGACTTTTCCGCGGCGTTTGCCCGTGTGCTGCTGCAGTGCGGATGAGGCGCCGTGTCTGCACACACGTTGGTGCCGGTGCCTGACGAGGAACACCGAACGACCTGCTCCGCCGCCAGGGGGTTTCACGCCGGTGTCGTGGACTCGCGAGTTTCGCGAACACCTGGCTGCCGTCGGTGTGCCGCGGCCAGAGGGGTGGTACGGCCAGGACATCCGGCCAGGTGCTGCCAAGGTCGTGCTTGCAGCGTCGGCGTGGAGGCCATGCTGTCGCGGGGTGGGTGGCGCTCCCTCGCTTCCGCGCGGCCCAGTGTGTACGGCGACGAGGTGTGGCGGCCGGCCTTCTCGGACAGGGCATCATTGACGACAGTGGCCCTGGGAATCAGGTCGCTCTCCTGCGCGTCCTTGCCACCCTCCTTTTCTCCGTCATTGACATTGGGCGCTGGCGGGAGTCCGCGCGGCGAGGCGCCGCTTGCACCTCGCTCTCGTCGCTGGGGCCGCTGTGGTTGTTCGCGACGCAAAGCACATGGGAAGGGAGCGGGCTGACGCTGATTCGCGAAGGTGAAGCAACGCTAGCACTGCTCGCCCCGTGCATGTGCTGTCCTCTTGCCCTCTGCTTATGTCCTCCCTTCCCTTTGCCTCCGCACTAGCTTCGGGTCAAGGAGGACCGCTTGTCTCGCCCTCCCACCTTTGTTTTCTGCTCGTTCCCGCTGGGGCGCTGGTCGCAGTCCACGCGGCGAGGTGCTGCTGGCCGCACCCCGCCCTCCCGCGCTGCCCCGCCGCGGGAGCGGGCCTCGCGCCCTCCCCTTCCCCCCCCCTCTGCGGCAGCCCGCCCTCCCTCCTCTCTCTCTCTCTGTCTCTCGCGTGCGGGCTCGCGCGTGACCTCGTGCCCCGGCGTCGCTCGGGCGCGCGTGCAGATTGCCTCCGCCGCGCCTGCGACGTGAAAAAGGTGTGCTCACTGCAGATCTGAGCCCCTCCCCCCCCCCTGGCGAGAGCAGGCCGTGGCCTCCCTGGTCGGCGGCCTCCTGGGCCTCTCCGACGCCCTGAACGCCAGTCGCGCGCCGGGGCGACTTGCCGCCGCCGCCGCCGCGGCGGGCCGCCGCCGCTGCGGCGCCGCCCGTCGTCGATCGATCGATCGGCATTGAGTTTCCAGCAGGTTCTTTACCGTTTTCGGCGTCCGTCTCGGGATTCATCCGAAGCAGTCAGGAATCGATCCTGGAGGGGAAACCGCCCAGGATGTTTCGACGGAGAGGGGGGGAGAGGGCAAGGGAGAGGGAGATATGGGGGGAGGAAAGGAAGGGCGTTTTCGCCCAGTTTCGGGCCCCGGGGCCATCACACATCGATCCACTTAGAAAAATTGGGTCTAGGGCCTAGCGTGCGGGTCGTGATTTTCCGATATTTCCCCAAACAGCTTGCTGAACGGGGTGCTGTCGTGATAGAGGCTAACTCCTGCCGAGGGAATTCAAATCAGAGACGTCCTCACAAAAATTTGGTAGTCCAGGCCGTTTCGCCTGAGACATCCTCTCAACTCTCGTTTCTGAGTTGTCCTGGATTGGGCGTTTCGCGTGGGGACATCCTCGAAACTCTGAGCTCCCAGATGCCGCGCGAGAGGTGGTCTGGCCCGTTTCGCTTGAGACATCCTGCAAACTGTGAGCTCCCAGATGCCGCGCCAGAGGTGGTTTGGCCCGTATCGCCTGAGACATCCTCCAAACCAAACTCTGAGCTCTGAAATGCCGAGCGCGAGGTGGTCCGGCGCGTTTCGCCTGAGACATCCTCGCAACTCTGACCTCGGAGATGCCGCGCAAGAGGTGGTCCAGCCCATTTCGCTTGAGACATCCTCCAAACTCTGAGTTCCGAGATGCCGCGCAAGAGGTGGTCCGGCCCGTTTGGTCTGAGACGTCCTCGAAATTCTGAGCTCTGAGATGCCGCGCGCGAGGTGGTCCGGCACGTTTTGCCCGAGACATCCTCTCAACTCTGCGCTCTCTGATGCCGCGCGAGAGGTGGTCTGGCCCGTTTCGCTTGAGACATCCTCCAAACTCTGAGCCCCGAGATGCCGCCCAAGAGGTGGTCCGGCCCGTTTCACTTGAGACATCCTCGCACTTTTGCATTCCGAGATTCCGCGAAAGAGGTGGTCCGGCCCGTTTCGTCTGAGACGTCCTCGAAACTCTAAGCTCTGAGATGCCGCGCGCGAGGTGGTCTGGCCCGTTTCGCCTGAGACATCCTCGAAACTCTCAGCTCTGAGCTGCCGCGCAAGAGGTAGTCCAGCCCATTTCGCCTGAGACATCCTCGCAACTCTGACCTCGGAGATGCCGCGCGAGAGGTGGTCCAGTCTGTTTCGCCTTAGACATCCTCGCAACTCTGAATCCTGATATGCCGTGCGCAAGGTGGTCTGGCTCGTTTCGCACAAGACATTCTCGCAACTCTGAGCTCCCAGATACTGCGCAAAAGGTGGTCCAGCCTGGGGGCCCAGAAGACCACATGTTACATATCCCCCTTGGAACCTTGGGAGCCCCAGGAGGCCCCAGACAGCTTCAGGAGGCCGCAGGACGCCCAGGACAGGCCCCAGGGGTCCCCAGGAAATTCCCAGGAGGCTCCCAGGAGGCCCCAGGAGGCCCCCTATCAGAACGTGTCAAGTTAATACGCATCCGGTGTCGATTCGTTGATTTTTCCTGCTCTTGTGGCCCCCCTTCATCTTGGGGGGCCCAGACGACCACATGTTAGATATCCCTCCCAGGGAGCTCCAAGAGGCTTCAGGAAGCCCCAGGTGGGGTCATGAGGCCACAGGAGGCCAAGGAGGAAGCCCCGGAAGGTCCCCAGGAGGCCCCAGGAGGCCCCGCAACTCGGAGCTCTGAGACGCCGCGCTCGAGGTGGTCCGGCCCGTTTCGCCTGAGACTTCCTGGCAGCACGTTTCGCCCGAGACATCGTCGCAACTCTGGGGTCCGAGATGCCGCGCGCGAGGTGGTCCAGCCCGTTACGCTGGAGACATGCTCGCAACTCTGGGTTCCGAGATGCCGTTCGGGATGAAGAGGAGGTGGAGGAGGAGGAGGGGGAGATGGAGGAGGAGATGGAAGGGAGAAGGAGGAGGAGGATGCCCCCCCGCTTCCGCGCCCTCCCCCGCTTCGTCTTGCAGTTGCTTCCGAGTTCACAGCATGGCGGTGGAGCCTCTGACAGTGCCGACCCAACAGCTTATTCGTCGACCAGTTGCGAGAGAGTACGACACACTCTAGCGTTAGCTTCCTGATAGGCATGCGTCATACAAGTTTTCGTGTAAACATCTTTATGTGCAAATATCATGTTACCATGTTCTAATATGCTATGCCAGCCTGCGCTGGACGGGCACGCAATCGACCTTGGAAACCGCAGTGGGCTAAAACAACCCTGTTTGGGGATACAGCACTCCGGCTATAATGTTTTGGTTTTCCGCATTTTTTCGCAACGTCGTCGTTGTCGTTGTCGCTGCGGTTGTCGTTGTCATTGCCTGGGGAGGATGAGGATGAGGATGAGGATGATGATGCTGATGATGAGGAGGTGGAGGAGGAGGAGGAGGAATAATAATAAGAAGAAGAATAAGAAGACGAATAATGATAATAATACTAATCGTAATAAGCATCATAATAATAATCATACTAAGAATAGGAAGAATAATAAGAAAATATTAACAATAAAAAGAATAAACATACGACGGAGAAGAAGAGGAGGAGGAGGAGGAGGAGGAGGGAGAGGGGGAGAGGGAGATAGGGATATAGGGAGACAGGGAAGGAGGGAGGGAGAAAGGGAGAAAGATGGAGAGGGTGGACGTGAAGGGCCATACTATTGAGCCGGGTGCAGGGAGTGGAGGGGTGGAGGTCACAGTCGTGTTGTGAGCCAGGTGCTTGGGCATACCTCTTTTCTTCGTGCGCAGGAACAGGCGTGGTGCATGGCTCCCCAGGCGTATTGCGCACGTGACGCAGCAGACTGGCGCAGGGTCCCTTTCGTCAAGCCTATCGCTGTGCATACTGCTGTCTCCAGTCTCGCCTTCGTCTCCCAGTTTATGGCTCCTATTCTCCGTCCAGCGTTGCTGGCGTCGGCGTCGGCGTCGACGACGGCCGCCGCTGCCGCTGCCGTTGCGGCCTCCCCTGAGTTCCGATGTCAAGAATCATCTTGCACAAACACTCAATCGGAGCCCTGGACCCCATTTCTCTGAGCCGTTTTTCGAACCAGATCGATCCGTGAGGGCCCCGGGCCCCGACGCGCCCAGAGTGAACAGGCTGCGACGCCAGGACCTCAGGGGCGCCTGGAGGGGCAGAACACGGGGACCACGACCAAGCCTGAACGCGGAAACGTCGTGCTGACCTTGGTCGCCGTCGATCTCTGTCAGCGCTAACTCGTCGATCGGCCTCGTGAGCTGGCGATGGCCGACACCGACCATGACCAATGCCGACGTCGGCAATATCCCGCGGCATCTTGGCCATGGCCCCCGCGCTTCTGGGCGTGACTGGGCGTGGGTGGTCTAGAGAGCTTTCCCCTCCAACCTCTTCTTCCCCTTCGGGGAGGAGCTAACCCCTCCCCTCATAAGCCCCCCCCGGACCTGGATAGAGGTGTCTCGCGACGCCTTGGTGCGTCCAAAAGGGCCCAAGTCGGCTCCAGGAGCGCCTCGGAGAGTCCAAGACGACCTCTAGCATGGCTCGAGATAGCCCAACATGCCCCAAGATGCCGCCGCTGCCGCTGCCGCTGCCGCTGCCGCTGCCGCTGCCGTTGCCGCTGCCGCTGCCGCTGCCGCTGCCGCTGCCGCTGGGGCCTCCGCCGGCGTCCGCCGTCGCCGCCGCCAGCGGCGGCGCCGCCGGCGCCGGCGGCGGCGCCGCCCACTCCGCGGCGCTGGCGAGGTCGGCGCGCCGGGCGCGTCGTGTTCCGCCACGGCGCGCCGGCGGCGGGCACGGCCGCGACGGGCCTGGCCGGATACGGCGCGGCAGGGGGGAAGACGGCGGCCGCGACGACGACGACGATGACGACGGCGACGACGACGATGACGACGACGACGACGCCGCTGGTAAGACTTCAGGTTGCGCGGAGACATCCCTCCAGGTAGAGTCAAGACGCTGAATTAAGGACCACTTTGGGTTCGAAAGGGGCTGGTTGTTCTTTTAGCCCTCCTCGTGCACCCAGGCGCTCTTGGTGCCAAAACGGGCCTTCCTTCCTCCTCTGGCGTTCCTCATTGAAGCAGCGCGACTGTAGTCCCGGCTGGCCTAAACAGGCCCCCAGAGTGGTCTGGGGCACTCTGCGCCCCATGTTTGGTGTGTGGAGACTGCCCCAGACTACTTGTGTGGAGACTACTACTGTTGACGCCAGTAGTAGTAGTAGTAGTAGTAGTAGTAGTAGTAGTAGTAGTAGTAGTAGTAGTAGTAGTAGAAGTGGTAGTAGAAGTAGAAGTAGAAGTATAATAATAAATAGAAGTAGCAGTAGAAGTAGAAGTAGAAGGGTAAGTATCAGTAGAAGTAGAAGTAGAAGTATAAGTATACGTAGTAGTAGTAGTAGTAGTAGTAGTAGTAGTAGTAGTAGTAGTAGTAGTAGTAGTAGTCGTAGTAGTCGTAGTAGTCGTAGTCGTAGTAGGTAGTAGTAGTAGTAGTAGTAGTAGTAGTAGTAGTAAGTAGTAGAAGTAGAAGTAGAAGTATAATAATAAATAGAAGTAGCAGTAGAAGTAGAAGTAGAAGGGTAAGTATCAGTAGCAGTAGAAGTAGACGTAAAGTATACGTAGTAGTAGTAGTAGTAGTAGTAGTAGTAGTCGTAGTCGTAGTCGTAGTCGTAGTCGTAGTCGTAGTCGTAGTAGTAGTAGTTAGTAGTAGTAGTAGTAGTAGTAGTAGTAGTAGTAGTGTAGTAGCAGTAGTAGTAGTAGTCGTCGTAGTAGGTAGTAGTAGTAGTAGTAGGAGTAGTAGTAGCAGTAGTAGTAGTAGTAGTAGTAGTAGTAGTAGTAATAGTAGTAGTAGTAGTAGTAGTCGTAGTAGTACCAGTAGTAGTAGTCGTAGTTGTAGTCGTATTCGGATATAGTGGTAGTAGTAGTAGTAGTAGTAGTAGCAGTA